TCGCTCGCTCGCTCTCTCTCTCTCTCTCTCTCTCTCTCTTTCTCTCTTTCTCGCTTTTTCTCTTTAAACCATCAACCTAAAAGCTATCGCCAAAAGAATGTGCTTGTTCATTTATTTTTCGTCCAATTCTAAAAATGTTTCCTTCAGGTGAAGATTTTATCTGGCCAAGTAAAAGTTTACGGATATCTGACTGAGATGAGGAACACAGAAGCTGTTTTTGACGACGGTCAAAGTGTCACGAGCATAGACTCGGTTGTGTATTGCACTGGCTACAACCAGGACTATTCTTTCCTAGATGCCGAGACCAGACGAGGTTCGTATGGCAAATTCAGACAATGTCTATGTTACGAATAGTTCGACACAAAAGATATGTAAAACAGATGTTTGATAGGAAAGAAGGAGCAAGTCACACAAGTGCACCCACCGACCACTGTTGGCGTGGAAATTGCAAGATAGTTTTTAATCTTGTGCATCGAAAAGTTGACTTCCAACAAAAGCAAAGGTATTGGAATGTGTGTACATTTATATAAATGTCAAACCATTCCTATTTATCATATTGGTTACTGCCTCATGAATTATATGATAGTTTGATATAAAGAGTCTTTTTGGGGTTTCTTTTTTTGTTTTCGAAAGCCTTTTTTTAAATGACTTTTTTGAATCATTTGAAGACGTACACAACATCGTTGCAGTTTTAATCTCTTCCACAATATTTAACATGAAATGTTCATAATGAAGGAGAGAAAAGTATTTTGGTATGCTATACAATACTTACTATATTATTATGATAACCCGTCATTTTTAGACATATAGAAAATGACTGAACCAAACTGACAAGGACTAAAACATGGCATCTAAATAAGGAAAGATAGATATACGGTAACTTAGACAAAATATTTCACGATATACGCGTGTAAATATAACCTTATGCAGAGGTGTCAGCATATATACATACAGTCTCACCAAAAATCTAAAAGAAATGTATATAATGCAAAAAGTTGTTGTCTTTCTCCAGCGGCAGTTCCCGAGGAAGGTGGTGTTGAGCTGTACAAGTACACATTCCCGGCAGCTGCACACCACAACACAATCGCCTTTGTCGGCCATTACAGTGGAGACAACGCCATGTTGCCGCTTGTGGAGCTTCAGTGTCGCTTAGCAACAAGGGTCATGGCTGGCAAACATAAACTGCCAACTCCTCATATGATGAAAGAGGATGCCGATGCGTGGAACGCTATAAGCCTAAGTCGGAAACCGAGCCAAAGGGTTCCAGTAGTATGTTCTTTTTCTCATTATTTCATATCAAAATAGCTCCCGTCCTCAATACTCTTTCTTAAATCAAAGGTCACATAAAAGGTTCAAATGAAGCAACGAAAACCACCTGCTTGATAAGTTCTATAACCAGTTGTCCACCTTGGTTAACTTTTTTTTTGCTATCTGTGGCTACGATTAGTCAGCACACGATCTCTATAATGTTTTTATAAGCTCGTTCCAACTGGAGTTTCAATAGATAAACGATTTGTCGCCTTTGACAATGAGTATCCTGCTGCTGTTGATGTCACAGTTGATTTTGGGGCAACTACCTCGTCTACAGCGTCTGATTTTGATGATCACCGCATTGACGTTGATAACAATGTTGATGAAGCAGCAACAGTCATCATATATCTTGATACGGAAATATAAAAAAAGAAAGATAATGTTATTTCTTCCGTCTTAAGATTATATTTTTCACGTATGTTCAATCCGTGGTTGACACAATCGACACGGTCATGCAGAAAAAAAGTAATTGCCCCCAGGAAGAACTCGGACATAACCCGGTTGGAAACTCTTGGATAAAATGTGGCATCAAGTTTCAACAGAATTAAAAACCCAATAAAACGCAGAAACTTTTATGTCAGATCAGCGACACTAAATACAGATAAACTATTCCTGCTGTCCAATCTGACCTCTACTTCCTGTTTTTCCCCTCTTTAGATCCCTTTTGTATATTTCGCTGAAGAGCTCGCCAAAGACTTGGGTGTCTACCCACACTTCTGGACCCTGTTCTTTAAAGACCCACGTCTTGCCTATCGCACCTGGGCTGGTCCTTGGTTTCCCGCCTCCTACCGCCTTCTGGGTCCAGACAGCACATGGGAGGAGGCGCGCCGTACATGCCATCAGATGTTTGAGGAAGATCTCAGTATGGTTTGCCACAGGAAGGTCAAGCCGTTACCCAAGTAAACTGCTTTTACAATGTGTCTTAATGCTTTCTGAATAGTTTTGTTTGAATAATGTATCTATTAAATTGATTCATGTAGATTCAAATAATTTAATTTGAATAATCTATCTAATAAATTGAATCATATAGACTTCCTTTGACATTGACTATTGGATGCTGAATTCGATAAGTGTATTTACTGATTATCTTTCACTGGGCCTTGACTTGACATAGCGAAAAGAATGCCCAGCGTTCTGAAATACAGTTTAAATTTTGTTGTTGAAAAGTGCTGCAGTTTAATTGATATAATAATTACAATTCGCTCAGTCTCAAGATTGTTTACCGAATTTTATTAAAACTACAAAGTGAAAACACTTTAACATAACAGTACTGATTTAATGCCTTTACAATGCACACCACTGTTAAACTGCTGACAAATTAATCAACGTAAGAGATCTTTGTAAACTTCAAGATACGACATGGATCTGCTGTCTTGTCTCTCCATATCTTTTGCCCTTTGTGTAATTCAACTGGCAAGTACTCATTATCTTCTTAGACATGTTAAGGTTTGAATTTTATCCATGTACACTGAATTGAAAAGTAGCAAGTACATAATTTTTATGGTAATAGTACTATACGGGCATTTTGTAATCGTTTGTCGTTTAAATTTGTACTAAGTTTTTTAAAGCATACGAAGTGAAAAAAACAAACCAGAATACGATTAAACAATAACAAATAATCAAATGTTTCTCACATTTAACGTATTTTCTTCTAGGGAACAACAGGTTATGGGTGAAATTAGGAAGGAAAAGCAGAAATTAAATAAGAGGCATCATCGGTAACTGTTAAAAAATAAACAAACAAACAAACAGAAACAAACAAACACATCTGCTGTGGCGTACATCAGGCAGTGTTTTTAACTTACATTTTTGAGGAAAGCAACTCCCCCCTCTCACCCTAATCACACCTACATATGCACACACACACACACACACACACACACACACACACACACACACACACACACACACACACACACACACATACACACACACGCACAATACTTCAGAAAAACCTTTGCTTTCATGAACCTATACTAACCAAAGACATTTCCTTTGATTAATGAATTTCTCCAATACCCCCCAGACAAACAAGTGGCAAACTCTGTGGATGGATGCGGCAAGGCGTATTGTTCCCTTCATTGGCAATCATAATGTGCTATCACTTGGGATACTCTGATCTTTTGGCCGAACTCCAGTTGAAGATCAGATGGCTTCATGATTTGCTTTCATAGACTAAGTAAACTGTAACAAATGATTCTTAGAAAAAATCTAACAGAAACAAAACTGCCTCTTAATATTATGTTTACAATAATAAAACAACCATCATTCTCATGAATGCTGAAATGTTTATTTGTTTTTCTCCAATATCAAAGGGGCAGCAATGCAAGATGCGTGGGCGAACCACAGCTGTGCTAAATGATACCAAATAAATTCCCAAACTAATATGTAAGGCATAATGCCTCTTGACAGAAGCTCTAGTAGCATAATGCATGGCACAGCTTTGTTTGGGTGATACACTTCTTATACTTAGTACAACTGATTATTTTGCCAAGAGCGCAAACTCTTAAGTTTTACTTTCTTTCCTTTAGATCTTGACGTCCCTAATATTTCAAACATGATGCATGCTCAATTTGATTGGAAAGAGGCAAGTGGGAGGGTTGTCTTATTACTGTAAACGTGGAATAACAAACAAACGAGCAAACCTCGACGGTGTTCATAGACTCCTTGCATCTGTTTGAAATAAAAAGTATCACATCTCTGAAACTTCGGTGAGTGGGGTGCATTTTTCCATGATCTCTCAATGAAAGTCTCAGATAAATGATGATGGCTTCAACAGTACTCATTTTGATACATGCATGCCAACAGACTCAAATATAGTCAATTTAAGAAAGTATCTATGTAGATCTACCATTCAAAAATGTAATTACTATTGCTCAACAACGTAGAATTAATTAACGATCAATTACTTCCATTACTCCCTTGTGAGTAAGATTTTCCCTAATTGCTTGCTGTTACTACTAGACTTATGTCTTGATTGTTATAAGAAATTCGATCTATATTCATGTCGTGACATCTGCACAAAGAAATTAGACTGAATTCAAGAGCTGTGTGGCTTTCCAAAGATTGTTGCTGCATCTTTGAGCTGTCTCTGGAAATAACATTCTCTAATTGATGTCATACGCAATTATGCTTAGTTCTCAAGTCTGTGGTAAAGAAAACAACATTATTACGGCTGTGGTCCATATTCCATAGAATGAAGGTCGACGACTGTAAATGCCCCTCAAAATTGAATTGAAGTCAGAAATCAATATGAAACTAGTTTTACCCAAAATAATAGACTGAATATGTTATAGATCCCTAATTAAAAAGAAAACAGGGGGTGGAAGATAACATTCGTAACTCATTACGAAAGTTCATTCTCATTGTTGAAACATTTCCGATTTTGTTCAGAAGAGATTTTAAGTTGTACGTCGATTGTCAAAACTGTACTAACCTTGAAATCAATAAAAACTCAGCAAACAAAGTGTTCACTTGTTCAACAAAGTGAATTTCCTGGAGACACGCTAATTAGGCTATGTAGATCGTAATAAAAGGTTTCGAACACATATCCATGAAAAAAAGCAATCATTATAGAGTTCAAAACCAGGCTATAATGAGACGCAGGGTGCTTCTAAGTTCCACTACAATTAGAATTGTAACACATACTAATTTACCTTCTTATCGAGCCGTAAAGCTGTCAGCGCAATAAAAGTAACTCCACCTCGACCAGTAGTAGTAACAACAGTAACGTAACAGGTAAGTTCTGAGTGCATGCAGGTTTTCAGGAATACTATGGGAAGAGAGAGAGAGAGAGAGAGAGAGAGAGAGAGAGAGAGAGAGAGAGAGAGAGAGAGAGAGAGAGAGAGAGGGCGGGGGCGGGGAGGGAGGTGATGACATTTTTATCAAGCCCAAGTAATTGACAATATTACACAACACACGACCTGCCGGTGTCCTCGCTCTATGAAACTGACACTGCGAGCGTTATTTTCTTTTCGACCATAATCACCGAGCAGACCTTTGATTTTTCTCCAGTATTGTCTAAGAAACATAATAATATAGAAGAGACTGAGCAGGCACAAGATCAGAAAAGAATCAGGATCGCCAGTCACTTTGCGAATTCCGACAAACTCAATGAACAACGATGGCATGGATTCCCGTAAAAGTTAACCATAACATTTATAATCAGTTCTCTTAAACTCTTTTGTTTGATATTTATATCTAGCAAAGTTCAAAGTTTCTGACCAATAACTTGAACATTTCACAGGAGTAATGTGTAGCCTATAATACAGTCTCGATAATATTACGAACACGCAGGCAGTGTAAAAGCGTGTATATTTATAGTTGTCAAAACATGCACATTTATTACGAAGCTTTGCAACTGGTGTTTCATAAAAATTGGTTAAAGGCAAAGGCATTTTGTTCATCAGTGAGACGTTTCCCTATTTTGCCTTAATAGGTAGCAGTTTTATCGCACTTCTGGGACAAATAAAAGTGTAATTTATTATAATTATTATTTATTAAATTTGTCGTAGTAATCCAAAATAGCGCAATTTTATTTTTTACTTTCTTGGTTTCATGGTTTGCTTAGGAATAGGAGATTGACATTGGGTTTATCTCTGCAAAATAATTTCCTGTCACAAAAGACCTACGTTATTTAGCCGATAAAGATGGCAATATACTAATTGAAATCAAAGCAACACTCTCCCACTTCTAGAAACTGAACCCATTAAAAAACTCTTAGTACCAAATACATTCAGCAGCTAACCTGCAGGGCACACATAGGACGCTATCTTTTTTTTCCTATCTCAAGGCTGGAAAAGGCGTGGAGGAGAGGTGGTGTTAATAACAGAATAACCGTGTCGTTTTATACACATGCTTACCGGAAGTAATTTCAATCTATTTATATGTTCTTTTCACGCTGGGGTACATGGCTTATCTCTTAGAGGACAAGCAAACTTTACTGTTTTTCTTTTGTCCAATGCTCTTAGTTTCAGTTTGCTCTCACTCACCCCAACGTACCTGGGGTTAGTAGAATAACAAGCAAAAAGTCATGGTTGTTTCGTAGTACTGTTTGACAACTGTATTTATCTATCTTTCTTCAAAGAGAATCATTTTAAGTAGTTAAAGGGGGTGAATAAATAAGTGTGTCACAAAATTACCTATGTCTACTTTCAAGTAGAGCTTTATTGTTACGTTAGAAGGAACATTGTACCTAAGCGACCAAAGAAAACTATGGATTTTTGTGCAATCATTAAAATTTGGAGATGCGTAATTTTTGTTTGAAAAGCAATCTCATTTGAACGTTTAAGAACACGACAAAATCAATGTACTTTTCAAATCCTAGTTTGACATTCAACTTTTTCCTAGCCTCTACTCCAGTGTCTGTGAGAATAAAGAGATCTTTGAGCTCAGCATCCTTCAAGGAACCGATAACTGTACGCAACCTTAGATATACAAAGTTCTGTCTGACACTTTTAGCCATTTTGAGTTACTAAGGCCATGAGGTCAAAAACCAAATGTTCTATCTGCTCTGTCACAATCTTACGGTTATTCAGAGACGTAGTCAGGATATTTTAAGAATTGCATTCGAAAAAAGCTTGACATTTTGTGAATCTCCAAATCGTTTTCGTCAAATTTCTCAAAACTATGTAATTAGTAAACAGCATGTTGTAATTCTGGGGTGGCGTGTTCTCTCTCTGTCTCTCTGTCTCTCTGTCTGTCTGTCTGTCTGTCTGTCTCTCTCTCTCTCTCTTTCTCTCTCTCTCTCTCTCTCTCTCTCTCTCTCTCTCTCTCTCTCTCTCTCTGCTATATGTATAATCTCCAAGTGATACGTCTGCGACAGACATTGGAGATCTTAGTTGGTAATTTGTTCTTCCGCTCGGTCTTTATACAATGATGTAATATGTATTTTAATATGTTTTATTTGTTCTCTGGTTAACTAAAACATGAACACAAACTTCAAAGTTTCGGTACAAGTTTGAGGAAAAGCAATAAATCTGACTAAAGAAGAGAGTATCGGTAAAATTATACTGTTAGAAACATCTATATTTCCTTGGTTTATTATCTTTTTCTACAACTGTGAGTCAAAAGGGGAAACAGTCTTGACAAGTTACAGCTTATATTATTTTGTCTCTTTTAACGCTATTTCGGACCTCTAATATTCTAATTCTGATAGGAACGAAACCATACCAAAAAAAGAAAATGCACACAACGAGAGGAAACATAAATACCTCAATGAAAATTAGAAAAACGATCTTCTGAGTTGCAGTATTAAGTACTGATTGTCAGCCCAGTGAAGTAACCGTGTAATCCGGAGAATGATAGGGAGGACTAACGATTCTTTTAAAAACACAAAACAAAAAGAGAGTAAACAACGTCATTGAAAGTGTTTGTGTCATATTGAGTATCTGAAGTACATTTTATCTCCTCAAATGTAAACCATTGGCGTAAGTATGTACAGTTTCCTCAGTGTGAAGAAGAACAACATATTGTAGAGCATTAACAAGATACTGAAAATATCATTAATATCCGACAAGTCAATTATATTCCTTAAGATATAATTACAATTTTGTATCATCTTCCTTTTTAAAAGTTGAACAGTATGTAATTTAATAAGACAGTACAGTCTGTTAGTTCAGATATTTTGGCTTCTAATATATCTTCAAATTATATCATAATCAAACTGAAAATCAACTTCATTATTTGTGGGACACATTGTTCTTTTCGTAAATTATGTAATACTGTGAATATTACACAGTTTGGTTTTGCTATGTCGGATTCAGGGGCACTGATGGGACTTCTCTGGGTGAGCATCTGTTTTAACCCTGCGTTGGTTAACTCTGCATTCCTTTCGACCACGAAGACATTCAATATCTTACGGCAGGCTGGCCACATAAAACAGATACTGAAGTTGGGAGGGGTGGAGGGGGGCTCATCTTTCTTATATTTCTCCCTATTAAGACTTTGCTGGGCTTCTCCAGTTTGCACTAACTTACATATAAGCAAACGTCAGTGCTTGTGTTCTTTAAACCAACGTTACAAATAGATCATTACCAATATAAGTCAGAAATTAAAAATATGAACAAGCAAGAAAATCTACAGTATCCTAAGAATAATAAAATTTTAGTTCTTATTCAAAGCATGTTGTAACAATATATCGGCCTAAAATACGTGATGTGTAGATATAAAAGTACTTTGCTTTTTATCGTTTTCCTATCATTAGGAGGTGGATGACAAAGGGAAAGGGGTTTCTGAAGCACACAGCTGTGGCAGTTAGAATGATGATTTATGGAAAAACAGCTGTTGAAAACCGAACGATCCATAATAAGGCATGCAAACTCAAAAACAAAGTGGGCCATCTGAAAATGTAATTATTTGTTTCTTAATCTTCTCTTGGTCACAACATTAGATACAGTGTATCTTGTCTTTGCTCAGATAAAAAACAATAATATTTGAAAAGTAGAGAAACAATTAATTTCATTAGTTTTGGGAGTGAAAATAAAAAGCTGAATTTTAATTCGTCACATAATCCACAGGCAACATTTGGCGGACATAATGAAGGTCAGATGGGCTGTGATTTTGGCAGGGAGTTTTCGAGTCCATGAACCAGTAAGATTTTGGATTTCTTGGGGAAGACATGGTAAGTTTGTCACCACTAGCTCAACCAAGAGAAAATAAATAGATAAAGTAGGCATGCATATTTACAATTTCGAACAAAACAAATTAAGTACAGAGCGCCCGCAAAGTTAAAATAATACCAATATATTTCTGCTATTTGAAAATCGAGAAGACAGTAAAGAGGGTAAATTTGACAATACATCAATTGATAGGCAAAAGCCCTTGGATTAAATTGTAAATACAATATCTCAGCCGGAGCAATCAGAGTTAGATATCCAAGGATGCTAAAAGAATAGGATAATGTAGACACGATACAAAACAAAACTGATTTTAATAAGCTATTTAAAAAGTTAAGTGAGAAGAATGATGTTATTTTTAGTAGCTTTCGTTTTTATTGGATAAAATAAAGAACAAACAAACAAAAAGAAAACAAAATAATAATGCCAATAAAAAGACAGAGAAAGGAGATGGAAGAACAAAAAACAAAACAATAATAATGAATGTCTAACACAGAGAGGGTCCATGTTTTCTGTCTAGCTTTTTATAGAGCAAGTCCCTAAATATAGATCTTAATATTCTTGATGTATTTGGGGAACAGAATTCAAGACTGATTTGGAGTTGTTAGCAAGAAGATGCCAACCTGTCTCGAGATCTATTCCGAGTAGTTTAAAGATGACCATGGAATATTAGTTAGTAATGTAGTAAGATGATCCCCCCCTCCCCGCCCCCTTGACCGTAAAACAGAGGTGAAAGGAGGACGAAACGGAGAAAGGCGACTATAAATCAAAATTTACGTTCTGATAGTCAGAATCTGGAGGAAGACCTGTATCACCGTTCTTAGAACAGGTCAGTGTCTTGAACATAAAATACAGCAAAAGATGCGTTAAATTGTTAAGTTGAAAGAAAATCAACCGACGAGTTTGATAAAAAATAATATTTTTCTTATTTACCGAATTTGTTTATGATTGAAAACACTTTTCCGTGTCTAAAATGGCAGTAGAACCGAAATACAAAGCAAATTATTAATAACAATTATAAGTTGAGTTTCTTTTATGAAATTTTTCAAAATTGTTGTTCAGTTCTGTAACTCAAGCGGGATTGTTCCGAAAGCAAAAGGAAATGTGCGTTTACAATTTTCTAAAACCAAATGCAAAATAATAATAATAATAATAATAATAATAATAATAATAACAATAGTATTATGATAATAATAATAATAATAATAACAATACACAATTTTGAGCATGCAGTACAAACGAACATTAACAGCACCTTTCTATCTTTTTTTTCATGAACAGGATTCAAAAGCCAGCAGATTTTATTGAGCATACGTGTGGTGAAGTCAGAAATGGGCACAGGAAATGAAAGCCAGGCAGCTCCTTCACAAGCAGACCTGAAAGGCATTGTGGACGATGATGTCCTGAACGTGTTTGTCGTCATTTTCTACGTCACTGCCACAGGGACTATCAGCTTCTCGGGCATCATCTTCAACATAATCAATATAATAGTGTTTTTAAAACAAGGCCTAAAAGATACTGTGAATATTACACTGTTCGGCTTGGCTATATCAGATACAGGATCGCTGATGGGACTTCTCTGGATGAGCATCTGTTTTAACCCTGCGTTGGTCAATTCCGGCATTCCTTTCGACCACGAAGACATTCAATATCTCACTGCTGGCTGGCCACATGTTATTTTTGCCCGCATCACAAGTTGGATCACAGCTTTTGTTACGTTTGAGAGGTGTCTGTGTATTGCTCTGCCCCTCAAAGTGAAAACTATCATAACACCAAGACGAGCTGTTATTGTGGTAGTTAGTATATACTTAATCATGATTGCTTGCATCGCACCTGTGTTCTATTCTGTCAGTCTTGGGCCAAAGTATTTTCCGTTGAAAAACAAGACGCTGATAGGTTTGGTATACATACCCAATGGTCCCTTTATTGAAAACGTTTCAATGACCATCAATGTCTTTGCCCAATTTGCTGCTTTCGTTGCAGTTATTATTTGCACAGCAGTCCTTGTCCACAATCTTCTGTTGAAATCAAAATGGCGACAAAAGACTTCTACTGCTGCCAAGCAGGATTCCTTGTCTCAAAGGGACAAAAAAGTTGTCAAGATAGTTCTTCTCATTTCCACAATTTTCATCGCTTGTTTCTTCCCCGGGGCTGTCAACTTTATTGCGATGAGTGTTGTTCCTGGATTCAGCATAGTTGGTAGATATCGAAACATGTTTTTGGTTACGTGGTCAATGTTCAAAGCTTTAAAAGCAACAAATTCGACGGTGAACATCTTTATTTACTATAACATGAGTTCAAAATACAAAGAAATTCTGAACGAAATGCTCCATATAAAACAAGATAAACCCGGGAATGATACATGATCACTATAATGATAATCTGTGGTCAAAAGACAGCTGTTGAAGTTTCATATCTTCTAACAATCGTAGGCCTACATAATGTTTCATAAGTAAAACCAGTGTGTACACTAATTTTAACATAACATGTTTGGGTTGTTCCGTCAGTCATGTAATTGACTAAGTAAAGTATAAAGCGAGGAATAAATCAACTGCCATGAAGAATAAAACATCTGATTTCAGGAATGTCTCTTTTGTTAGTTTGTTTGGATGGTTGTTTTTTTATGTTTTTGTTTAGTTGTTGTTGGTTGTTTTTTTTTTT